CGTCATGGGCACGTGTCCGTCATGGGCACGTGTCCGTCATGGGCACGTGTCCGTCATGGGCACGTGTCCGTCATGGGCACGTGTCCGTCATGGGCACGTGTCCGTCATGGGCACGTGTCCGTCATGGGCACGTGTCCGTCATGGGCACGTGTCCGTCATGGGCACGTGTCCGTCATGGGCACGTGTCCGTCATGGGCACGTGTCCGTCATGGGCACGTGTCCGTCATGGGCACGTGTCCGTCATGGGCACATGTCCGTCATGGGCACGTGTCCGTCATGGGCACATGTCCGTCATGGGCACGTGTCCGTCATGGGCACGTGTCCGTCATGGGCACGTGTCCGTCATGGGCACGTGTCCGTCATGGGCACGTGTCCGTCATGGGCACCTGTCCGTCATGGGCACGGTCCGGGCACGTGTCCGTCATGGGCACGTGTCCGTCATGGGCACGTGTCCGTCATGGGCACGTGTCCGTCATGGGCACGTGTCCGTCATGGGCACGTGTCCGTCATGGGCACGTGTCCGTCATGGGCACGTGTCCGTCATGGGCACGTGTCCGTCATGGGCACGTGTCCGTCATGGGCACATGTCCGTCATGGGCACGTGTCCGTCATGGGCACATGTCCGTCATGGGCACGTGTCCGTCATGGGCACGTGTCCGTCATGGGCACGTGTCCGTCATGGGCACGTGTCCGTCATGGGCACGTGTCCGTCATGGGCACCTGTCCGTCATGGGCACGTGTCCGTCATGGGCACGTGTCCGTCATGGGCACGTGTCCGTCATGGGCACATGTCCGTCATGGGCACGTGTCCGTCATGGGCACGTGTCCGTCATGGGCACGTGTCCGTCATGGGCACGTGTCCGTCATGGGCACGTGTCCGTCATGGGCACGTGTCCGTCATGGGCACGTGTCCGTCATGGGCACGTGTCCGTCATGGGCACGTGTCCGTCATGGGCACGTGTCGTCATGGGCACGTGTCCGTCATGGGCACGTGTCCGTCATGGGCACGTGTCCGTCATGGGCACGTGTCCGTCATGGGCACAGTGTCCGTCATGGGCACGTGTCCGTCATGGGGCACGTGTCCGTCATGGGCACGTGTCCGTCATGGGCACGTGTCCGTCATGGGCACGTGTCCGTCATGGGCACGTGTCCGTCATGGGCACATGTCCGTCATGGGCACGTGTCCGTCATGGGCACATGTCCGTCATAGGGCACGTGTCCGTCATGGGCACATGTCCGTCATGGGCACGTGTCCGTCATGGGCACGATGTCCGTCATGGGCACGTGTCCGTCATGGGCACATGTCCGTCATGGGCACGTGTCCGTCATGGGCACGTGTCCGTCATGGGCACATGTCCCATGGGCACGTGTCCGTCATGGGCACGTGTCCGTCATGGGCACGTGTCCGTCATGGGCACGTGTCCGTCATGGGCACGTGTCCGTCATGGGCACGTGTCCGTCATGGGCACGTGTCCGTCATGGGCACGTGTCCGTCATGGGCACGTGTCCGTCATGGGCACGTGTCCGTCATGGGCACGTGTCACGTCATGGGCACGTGTCCGTCATGGGCACGTGTCCGTCATGGGCACGTGGTCCGTCATGGGCACGTGTCCGTCATGGGCACGTGTCCGTCATGGGCACGTGTCCGTCATGGGCACGTGTCCGTCATGGGCACGTGTCCGTCATGGGCACATGTCCGTCATGGGCACGTGTCCGTCATGGGCACGTGTCCGTCATGGGCACGTGTCCGTCATGGGCACGTGTCCGTCATGGGCACGTGTCCGTCATGGGCACGTGTCCGTCATGGGCACGTGTCCGTCATGGGCACGTGTCCGTCATGGGCACGTGTCCGTCATGGGCACGTGTCCGTCATGGGCACGTGTCCGTCATGGGCACGTGTCCGTCATGGGCACGTGTCCGTCATGGGCACGTGTCCGTCATGGGCACGTGTCCGTCATGGGCACGTGTCCGTCATGGGCACGTGTCCGTCATGGGCACATGTCCGTCATGGGCACGTGTCCGTCATGGGGCACGTGTCCGTCATGGGCACATGTCCGTCATGGGCACGTGTCCCGTCATGGGCACGTGTCCGTCATGGGCACGTGTCCGTCATGGGCACGTGTCCGTCATGGGCACGTGTCCGTCATGGGCACGTGTCCGTCATGGGCACGTGTCCGTCATGGGCACGTGTCCGTCATGGGCACGTGTCCGTCATGGGCACGTGTCCGTCATGGGCACGTGTCCGTCATGGGCACGTGTCCGTCATGGGCACGTGTCCGTCATGGGCACGTGTCCGTCATGGGCACATGTCCGTCATGGGCACGTGTCCGTCATGGGCACGTGTCCGTCATGGGCACGTGTCCGTCATGGGCACGTGTCCGTCATGGGCACGTGTCCGTCATGGGCACGTGGGCACATGTCCGTCATGGGCACGTGTCCGTCATGGGCACATGTCCGTCATGGGCACGTGTCCGTCATGGGCACGTGTCCGTCATGGGCACGTGTCCCGTCATGGGCACGTGTCCGTCATGGGCACGTGTCCGTCATGGGCACGTGTCCCGTCATGGGCACGTGTCCGTCATGGGCACGTGTCCGTCATGGGCACGTGTCCGTCATGGGCACGTGTCCGTCATGGGCACGTGTCCGTCATGGCACGGTCCGTCATGGGCACGTGTCCGTCATGGGCACGTGTCCGTCATGGGCACATTTCCGTCATGGGCACATGTCCGTCATGGGCACATGTCCGTCATGGCACGTGTCCGTCATGGCACGTGTCCGTCATGGGCACGTGTCCGTCATGGGCACGTGGTCCGTCATGGGCACGTGTCCGTCATGGGCCACGTGTCCGTCATGGGCACGTGTCCGTCATGGGCACGTGTCCGTCATGGGCACGTGTCCGTCATGGGCACGTGTCCGTCATGGGCACGTGTCCGTCATGGGCACGTGTCCGTCATGGGCACGTGTCCGTCATGGGCACGTGTCCGTCATGGCACGTGTCCGTCATGGGCACGTGTCCGTCATGGGCACGTGTCCGTCATGGGCACGTGTCCGTCATGGGCACGTGTCCGTCATGGGCACGTGTCCGTCATGGGCACGTGTCCGTCATGGGCACGTGTCCGTCATGGGCACGTGTCCGTCATGGGCACGTGTCCGTCATGGGCACTGTCCGTCATGGGCACGTGTCCGTCATGGGCACGTGTCCGTCATGGGCACGTGTCCGTCATGGGCACGTGTCCGTCATGGGCACGTGTCCGTCATGGGCACGTGTCCGTCATGGGCACGTGTCCGTCATGGGCACGTGTCCGTCATGGGCACGTGTCCGTCATGGGCACGTGTCCGTCATGGGCACGTGTCCGTCATGGGCACATGTCCGTCATGGGCACATGTCCGTCATGGGCACATGTCCGTCATGGGCACGTGTCCGTCATGGGCACGTGTCCGTCATGGGCACGTGTCCGTCATGGGCACGTGTCCGTCATGGGCACGTGTCCGTCATGGGCACGTGTCCGTCATGGGCACGTGTCCGTCATGGGCACGTGTCCGTCATGGGCACGTGTCCGTCATGGGCACGTGTCCGTCATGGGCACGTGTCCGTCATGGGCACGTGTCCGTCATGGGCACGTGTCCGTCATGGGCACGTGTCCGTCATGGGCACGTGTCCGTCATGGGCACGTGTCCGTCATGGGCACATGTCCGTCATGGGCACGTGTCCGTCATGGGCACATGTCCGTCATGGGCACGTGTCCGTCATGGGCACGTGTCCGTCATGGGCACGTGTCCGGGCACGTGTCCGTCATGGGCACGTGTCCGTCATGGGCACATGTCCGTCATGGGCACGTGTCCGTCATGGGCACATGTCCGTCATGGGCACGTGTCCGTCATGGGCACGTGTCCGTCATGGGCACGTGTCCGTCATGGGCACATGTCCGTCATGGGCACGTGTCCGTCATGGGCACGTGTCCGTCATGGGCACGTGTCCGTCATGGGCACGTGTCCGTCATGGGCACGTGTCCGTCATGGGCACGTGTCCGTCATGGGCACGTGTCCGTCATGGGCACGTGTCCGTCATGGGCACGTGTCCGTCATGGGCACGTGTCCGTCATGGGCACATGTCCGTCATGGGCACATGTCCGTCATGGGCACGTGTCCGTCATGGGCACGTGTCCGTCATGGGCACGTGTCCGTCATGGGCACGTGTCCGTCATGGGCACCTGTCCGTCATGGGCACGTGTCCGTCATGGGCACGTGTCCGTCATGGGCACGTGTCCGTCATGGGCACGTGTCCGTCATGGGCACGGCCAGCCTCCATGTGCTGTGATGAGCTTCCGCACCCCCATGTGCTGTGCGGCAGGGGGGGAGGCAGTGGGAGCAGCGCGGTGGGGGATGGAGGCGTGAGGGTGGTAGGGAATGCAGCGCACGGGCACAGGCCGCTGCACTAGTAGGCTCGATCCGCACTGGGATGAGCTGAGCAGTGAGGTGGGAGGGTGGGCGGGAAGTGAGGGGACGAACAGCACAGAGGGAGGTGCGAGGAGACAAATAGGCTTGTTTGGTCGTGCTGGTTGCGACGTACGGCATGGTGGGATGAGATGCAACGTACGGCATGGTGGGATGAGATGCAACGTACGGCATGGTGGGATGAGATGGAAGAGTGTTAGGGAGGGAAAGAGCAGTCGTGCGCCGTCGGTCATTGCAGGAGGGCAAGAGTAAGAGGGGAGCCACACAAGTGGCGTGGGGAAGCTCTGAAGAGGGATTCCATTCCAGGCCGCATGTCATCTGGTACACAAGAGTGGGAGGGGAGCCACATCTTATCATTCAAACAGCTACTCCCCTCTCCTCCCCCTCCCCCCCCCCCCCCCCCTCCTTTATGATACAATCACCTAACCACCTCAAGGGCAAGGCTGGTGAGAGCATCAACACGAAGCCACCTGAGTACAGCATCCAAAGTTCAACAGTCACCTGAGAATCACCTGAGAATCACCTGAAAATCACCTGAGAATCACCTGGCCTGTGTCCGAGTCAGCATCTGTGACCAACACTGCATCCCCTCCCCCCTCTTCCTCCTCCCCCTCCTCCTCCGTCTCCTCGCCTTCCTCGTCCTCGTCTGTGTGGAATGCAGGTGGAGTGCAAACATGGAAGCGGGTGCAGGGGCGATGGGAGATTGGGGATAGAAGCGGGGCGGCGGTGAGCGGTGGTGAGTGGTGAGCGGTGAGTGCACAACACAGCTGCAGCAAGACACTGAGACGCGTCCACTGTGGAGAGTTCTCAAAAGCCAACACAGGTGAGCCGCAGCCAGCATGCTTCACAGCAGTGCCACCCTGCCACCCACACCCGCACACTCACTCCGCCGCCCCACCCAACTCTGCCTTTCCCCTTCTCAACACCACCCCACCGCACTGTATCCCCGCCCATGCCTCACCAGCGCCATCCCTGGGCAGAGTGTCAGCTGCGCCGTACCAGCGCCGCAGCTTTGGGCCGCCTGGTGTGGTAGCCACACCACACCATGCGCGCGTGGTGGGGGGGAGGGGATGGGAGGGGGGTGGGGCGCGGAGGGGCAGGGGGAATGGCGGATGAGAGCAGCGTGGGGAAGGGATGGGGGAGCGGCACGGGAGATGGGAGGCGGATACAGTGCAGGGGAAGAGGTGGTGGTGGTGGGGGAAGGGAGGAAGTAGGAAGGAAGCGTTATCACCTTGGTTTTTTCTCATTGGGAGGCAAGATGGGATGGACGCGCATAGGGAATTCGCATGGGGAGTTCTCATGGAGGAAAGGAGGCGGGATTGAGAGTAACTGCCTCACTCGTTACACCTCATGCCTGTGGAATGCATGACGTCAGCTGAAGCCTGAAGGCCGTGGCGTTGCAGGTTTGTCGTCCTTTTCTGGTCATGCTGACGCAAGCGTTGGGGAACACTAAGTGAGCTCATCAATTTCCATCCTCCCTCCCGTTACCCCGAAGATTCGATCGCTCGTTAGGCTCACCTTCGATATAGTCAAGGATTTGATCGCCAAAAGACGGGCCCTGCTTCCCCTTCCGCTGCCCGCCGCCGTCCTCCCCCCCGCACGCGCGCACGCGCACGCCCGCACTAGCCCCGCGTCTAATGACCCGACTGCGCCAACTGAGCTCAATCTGCGGAGCGCCTGCGCGGAAAGCAGCACTGCTGCGCAAACAGATGTTCGTATATCGGAGCGAAGTTGCCTCGCAGACGGGAGCGCCAGTAGCGAGCGGTCTCGCTACAGCGAGCAGCGCTGGAGCAACAGCGGCAGCGGGAGCCATGATGGGCGGAATGCCCCTCGAAGCCCCCCGCGCGCGGCAATTTTGAGACTCGCGGAGACCTTAGGCTCAAGAAACCCGTGCGGACGGACTATTCTGATGCCGTTGCTGTGAGGTTGCTAGCCACAGCTATCTCAATATACGCAACATAAAATGCGCACCACTGAAAGCACAGTGCTCCTACTGTACGCGATATGGAATCATTCTTTTCACGCGCCCAGGTGAACTTTTCTTTGTTTGCTCTAAGAGAACTGATATTTATATTTACAGAAACCGTATTACTCCTTCCCAAAAAAATCAACAATTTGCTCCAGTGGCTTCCAAATAGGCTTAGAAATGTGTGAATGTAAGTGGGTTAAGCGAAACATTTGAGGAAACGACCAGCACCTAAACATGTTTTCAAAGCTTACACCGCAAACGCCGCTGAAAAGAATGGCCCTGATGTTTAATTTATTTACAGCCCCCTTTTTATTATTGGCACATAGGTAAGTCCCCCATTTTGTGAACTACGCAGAAGGTGCAGCCAACACTTGGTAACCAGCAGAAGTCGTGGCGGCAGGAGAATCATCAGGAGACGAAGCAGGAGCAGCGAGAGGCGCAGCAGGACGAGGTGCGCGTTGCGGTGCGGGGCGAGGTGCCTCCTTGCCAAGTGAAGAGGAGAGGTGGAAGTTCCAGAAGATGGCGCAGCATGACATGAAGGCCACTCGCGCCTCTAATGGCACGACTCTGTAAAGGGAATGACGAGGGGGAGGAAACGGAGCAGTGATGGGGGATGGAAGCAGGGAGAGCAGCAGACGTGGGCAGGCAATGGGTCATGTGGTTGAAGCACAAGAACGGACTGCAGACATTGCTGGCAGGAGGAATGAGGAAGTGAAAGTACAGAGATTTGGAAAAGGACAGGGGAAGATGAAGGGCAAGCGAGAGGACGGCGAGGGAAGGGGAGGGAAGGGGAGGAAGGGGAGGAAGGGGAGGAAGGGGAGGCAAGGCAAGATGAGGCTTACGCGAAGTTGAGGCAGGTGGCCGGTATCCAGAACTTGTAGCCTGATGGTGCGGGCATGCACCAAGAGACATGGCGAGCCACATGCTTCATTTCAGAAAGAAGTATGGTGATGCTTGGAACAGCTTACATGCTCAGGAACAGAGGGCTGAGGAGACGCGCACAGGAGTACCAAGGGGTTAAAAGGAGTACTTATTGATGGTAACTGTAAAAATCTATCAAGCTACAAACATGAAAGAGCAGTGGAAAACTAGCTACCACGAAGACACTATTCTACCAAACGAGACGGGAGTCAACCAACGTACCCTTGATGAGCGAGGGGAAGAAGTCTCGACGGTACTTGTCTGGGATGTCCCTGGCCTTGCCCATCCACGCCATGTTCCACGCGAACACCACGAGCAGCACAGTCGGCCCCACCACCACCTGATTCGCTAGCACCTAGCGAGGGGGGTGGGAAGAGACGGGGAGGAGGAGCAGCAGGAGGAGGGACGCCAAGGCGAGGGTGCGATTTGCTGGTGGTGACTTTGGCTCTTGGTGAGGTGTGCTTCCACTCACTGCCACTGCACTAACACTGCCACTGCCACTGCCACTGCCACTGGTACCCACAGTTGCTACAAAAGCCACATGGCAGAGTTGAGCTACATCGATGAGGTGCGGCACATGGGAGCTACATCGATGAGGTGCGGCACATGGGAGCTGCATCGATGAGGTGCGGCACATGGGAGCTGCATCGATGAGGTGCGGCACATGGGAGCTGCATCGATGAGGTGCGGCACATGGGAGCTGCATCGATGAGGTGCGGCACATGAGAGCTGCTCATAGCGAGTGCGAGGAGGCGCTTTGCGAGCAGAGTTGAGCAGGGCTGGACCCGCTTTGAGACGAGCTCAGTGTGAGTGAGCGGGCAGCCGCAGGCAGTCAGTCCAGCTTCCCGTACCCCCGGTACCCCCGGTACCCCCGGGGTACCCCTGGTCCCACACAGTACAGCGAGTGAGGGGAGGGGCGCACCTTGAGGGCGAAGTTGGCAGCGGTGGGGGCGGGCAGCAGGCGGTCAAGCCGGCGGTACCAGGCGTGGCAGCCGGGGCCATAGAGTAGGAAGCCGTACGACGCCATGCGCACCGCTCGCACCCAGTCGTGCTGCCCCACCCCCTCGCCCGCCCCCTCGCCTGCTGGCACCACGTGCTGATCCTGCGGTGCCGTGGCGGCAGCACAGCGCGCATCCGCGTGGTGGCGGCCATGGCTGCCGTGCTGCTGCTGCTGTTGCTTCCGCTGCTGGCGGCGCTGGCGGCGCTCCACGAGCTGCGCCAGCGTGTCGCCCGCCAGGGCCAGCCCGCTCGCCGTTGCCGCCGCCTTCAGGGGGAAGCGCTGCGGTGCATTGGGGGAAGGGTGCACAGGGAGTGGGGGGAGGAGGGGGAAATGGGGAATCGGAGGGGTAACGAGGAACGGGAAGGAGAAAGGGGAAAGGGGAAAACGGGAGGGGGAAGAGGAAAGGGGATGCGCGGAAACTGGTCCTGAGGGGATTCTTGTGTCAGGAGAAGAGGGACGAGGAAGGGACATGTGGAGAGCGGAAAGGGGATGGGGGATGGTACTGTAGCCTGATAGGGCGACGACTCAAGCGCCGGATCAGGAAAGAAAAAGGAAAAAGGGGGATAGGCATAGGGGGAGAGGAGATAGTGTGGTGATAAAAGCAGGGGCTGGATTGATGAGAGAGGTTGAAGCTGCTGAGTGTGGCACGGTCCAACTCCAAGAGGCTCAACTCGTACTATGCACGGATGCGGTTTGCAATATCGCCACCCACCGCCTCTACCACCATGCTTTGCCTTGCCACCCACCCACGCACCCACCCACCCAGTCACCAAGCTACCCACCTCCAGCAACGACCCAGATTGAGCCTTCTTCCACGATGGCTCATCCAACGACTGAGATGTGCTCAATGTGCTGCAGGGAAATCGACGGGAGGGGATTAGTAGGTTCGCGAATGAGGCAAGGGGCGGACGGCAGGAGGCAACGGACAGCAGAGAGGAATGGACGGCGGAGGGGAATGGACGGCAGGGGGGAATGGACGGCGGGGGGCAAGGGTCGGCGGAGGGCAATGGACGGAAGGGGGCAAGAGGCAGAGTAGAGGTGCAACGGTAACTGCCTCACCTGGCTCGAAGGCGGTGCCTGCCGTGCTGCCACGTGGCAGTCAGCGAGGAGAGGAGCGAGAGCGACAGGCCGTGCGAGAGCGAGCAGGAGAGCACTGTTGGCGGGCGAACGCGGAGAGCGTCTGAGGAAGCGCTGACCGCGTTGACTCCGTTGACCGCGTAGACTCCGTTGAACGGGTTGAACGGTAAGCCGCTGGATGCAGCCATCGTGGGCAAACGAATTAGGGTTACCACCGGTCTTAGGCGCGGTCGCAGCGCTCGTGGTTATTATAACCGCAACGCAAATGGCTCGACGCGCGAGTGGTTTCCACCGAATCGTCTCCGCACTCGCCGGTCACCCGTTTTTCAGGTTCTTAATCGTGGAAGGCTTGGCGGAGCAGATTCGGCGGAAAAATAAAAATCGTTCAGAGCTCGATCTTGGATTAGCACTGACGCGAGAAACAATGTGGGAACGGAGTATGTGAGAGGATTCCTGGCCTCCGCCGCTCTTCGCTGCGGGCTGCAGCGGCGACGACATCGTAGCTCGTCGATGCAAAGGCTTGCTCGGAGCCACACATGTCACACGCGCAATCGGCGATTCCCGTCTTTGCAATGGCGGGGACCTTTCCGTGATAGCAGGCAAGCTCGCACTATTTGCGGAAGGAAGCAATGCTGCCATGACTGAGCGCAGCGCCAGTGGCGTTGAATCTGGCAGCGGGGGTAAGGTGCCTTGCCTACCAAACAAGGCCCAAGTGACTGCCATCCGTTACTAACTACCGACGCTTGACGTTTTCGCAAGGACGACTCATGCACCACTCAGCGACCAGTGTCGGTGGTCCTCGAGATGAATGATATCCGATTTAAGAAACTCGACACGGCTTACGCCAACAAAAACGCATCCCCCTTTACAGTAATCTTCCAGATAAATGACCCTAGCACCTTGTTATAAATTCATTAAAAGAGTGGGTCTAGTTAAATTTGCCAGGTGGCACCTCGACTGTGTCCACTTGGCAAGATCCACTGCCGTGGCAGTGGCAAATACAATGCTGGAAGCGATTGAGGGAGCAGTTCTCATGTAATACTTTATGAGAGAGTGATTTTTGTTGGGCTGATAAAGCCCTTAGGATCTTTGCAGGGGTAAATTCTGGGTAGAGTTGGTGTAGTAGCGGAAGCGTTAATTAAAGAGTTGTGAACCACCTTGCGCTAGTATGTGAGGGCAAAGTAAGTTGATTAAAACAAAGAGATACAAGCTTTTATATAAGAGTACAAGGAATGTGAAGAGATACAGTTATAACTGCTTTACTGTTGCTGTTGCGGTTCGATACAGTGACGACTCGGGCAACTGCTCTGTAGCGAGTCAGTTGTGTGTCCTTGCTGTCGCGCTGTACTTGTCAGGTCAAAGGTCGCTGACATTTGACTTTCGTGCAACCTCCAGCAGTTACTTCAACCTCCGAGGGTTGACTCGCTGGTGCCTCGATATGATTTGCTTCGCTTGTGCCTTGGTGTTTCGACACGAGAGAGGCGCTTAAGCTCGATTGTTTCCAACAATTTTGTTTGCTGTCCTCTTGAAATGCTTTCACTCATGAACTGACATGGAAGCAATTCTTAGAAACTTAGGCATGAGAGGAGTGACTAGAATGTCGAGTGATTTTGGTACAAGGGAGAACACTAAGATGTTGTACCCCAAATAGTTTACCCCACTACAGCCTACCCAGAATTATAACATACATAGATATGTTTAACACACCCCCATAGGCAAAGTGGGGGAGAACAAGGGGTCACAAGACCAGTCAAGAGAAGCAAAGCAGCTCAGGGTGGATCACAACGTCACCACACACTCCAAGCACAGGCAAAAGGTCACAAGGCCAGTTCACATGCAGAGGTATATATGGAACAGCAACCGTACAGTGATCACTACCTAGCAAAAGCAAGCAAGCAGGTATATATATATATGTATATATATATCACAGTACAAGCAGAGTCTACAACAAGTGTGGAAACGTAGGCACAAGGCCCAACAAGTTACAAAAGCGCTGATGATCACCAGACGGAAGTGCCTTGCTGAATATATCAGCAGTGTTGGCCCGAGTGGCCACGTGAGCAAGACGAAGCTGACCCCGCTGCTGCAACTCTCGAGCCAGGAAGTAACGCAGAGCGATGTGCTTCGTTCTGTGCTCCAGTCTGTGCTCCTGACACAAGGCAATGGCTGCCTTGTTGTCGACGTACAGAACTGGAGGAGAACGAGGCCTCTCTCCCAAGTCGGTCAGCAGGTAGGTGAGCCAGCGTAACTCCTATGCAGCCATGGCTGTGGCGTAGATCTCAGCCTCACAACTGGAGCCGAGAACAGAAGACGAGCGAGTAGACCGCGAAGAAACAGAGCCAGCGCCAAGATTGAAGGTGTAACCCTGTGACGACTTGTGCGTAGCCTGGTCGTCAACCCAAGAAGCGTCCGAGTGACCAGTGGGGACAACGTCGCCCCGTCCTCCAAGCATGAGCCCCATGCCTGATGTACTGCACAAGTAGCGCAGTACCCTCTTAACAGCATCCATGTGCACCTTTCAGTGCCGACCAGGAGCCACGTAGCGAGCCAGAAGGCCAAGAGGGTACGCAAGGTCAGGACAAGTGCAGGTCATCAGGTACATGAGGCAGCCAACTAGCTCTGGGTAAGGACCACTCGGCTCTAGGGACTCGTCCGAAAGTGGAGCTGAGAGCGAGTGACCTGTAGCCAGAGGAGTGGCCTGTGCCGAGGACCAGGTGAAGCCGAAGCGCTGAACGACCTGCTGCACCATGTGTGACTGAGTCAGTGTGATGGTGCGGCGTGCTCTGTCCCGGGTGATCTGCAAGCCAAGGTAGCTGCGCAACTCACCCAGGTCTGTGCAAGTGTGTCTCTTCTGCAGCTCCGACTTCACCAGGGCGAGAGCCTCAGTATCACCAGTGGCAAAGACCAAGTCGTCGACGTACACGAGGATGTAGAATGGCGGCAGCAAAGTGTCGGTGCGCAGAAATAGCGACGCGTCAGCAGTCGAAGGAGCAAACCCAAGAGCCGCAAGTGTCGTCCTTAGTGTGTCGTGCCATTCACGTGGCACCTGGCGGAGACCGTAGACCGGCCGCTGGAGGCTCCACTGGGTACCAGGAGGGAACGACCCAGTGAAGTCAGGCGGGCGGCGCAGCCAGATCTCTTCGTGCAGGCTGCCCTGTAACAAAGCTGTGCTGAAGTCAAGAGAGTGAAGCTCGTAGTCACGCTGAGCGGCAACGTGCAGCAGCACCCGAAGAGTGGTCATCTTCGGGGTGGGAGAGAAGGTTTGGAAGAAGTCAACTCCCTCTTGCTGACTGAAGCCTCAAGCAACGTAACGAGCCTTGAAGACAGGCGGAGAATCTGGCGGCCGCTTCACCCTGAAAATCCACATGCCGTCGACGATGTTCGCCCAAGGAGGGGGAACCTCATCGACGTAGGTGCCAGTGGACTTCCAGGATGCCATCTCTGCGTCCATGGCTGTCTGCCACTGAGAAGAGTACTCACCCGCGATCGCCTCAGCGTAAGAGCGCGGGGTCGGGATGTCTGGTGCATCCGGGTCTCCCTCAGGGGCAAGCAGCATGGCCACGAGATGAGGCGCAGCGGCCGCAAGACACTCAAGCTCCTCGTGCCTGTCCTCAAAGACGTCCGTGATAAGAGCACACTCACCCCCGACGGACGGAGGACAGACAGACTCAGACTCAGCAACAAGACTAGCAGCGTAGTCTAGACGACAGGCAGCAGCAAATTCGACAAGCTCAGCGACTAGGGCAGACGCAGCAGTGGACTCAAACGACGGGTCAGTGACCACAGTGGCTAACAGACGCGTGACAGTAGGGTGCTCAGTACGAAACTGGTCAGACTCAGGGTCCGCAACGTCAGGCAGAGAGGACGCAGGGGGAGAAGGCAGAGGAACACGCTGCGGAGGAGAGGAAGGACGATGGACTACAAGGTGGGTGCCGGGGACAGCCGGCTGACGCGGACGAGGAACACGACGACCGGAACGACTAGAACAGACAGGCGAGACAGGACGGGACGCAGGCCCACGACGCTCAGCAAGGCCCCCTGTCTGCACAGTTTAAGGAGAAGGAGCAGGCAGCGTCGAGCCACGCTGTAACGGAAGACCAGTAGACGAAGGGAGACTGAGAACCTGGCGAAGCGCAGAGTCAGGCGGTGGCTGAGACGACGGAGACGGCAGAGCGAAGAACAGGCGCGGCTGTGCAGTGCCACCAGCACCAGCTGCTCCAGCACCTCCAGTATCTCCAGTACCCTCAGCAGCTCTAGTACCTCCAGTAGCTCCAGAACCCTCAGTGCCAACTCCTCCAGGACCAGCTCCACCAGCTGCAGCACCTCCAGAACCGGCACCTCCAGGCCCAGGGTCTCCACCCTCAGTGCCTCCAGCAGCAGCACCCCCAGACCCAGGGTCTCCAGCAGTAGCACCCTCAGACACAGTACCTCCAGCCCCAGCAGCTCCAGTACCTCCAATACGGGCACCTCCGGGACCAGCGACTCCAGCACCTCCAGTAGACAAAGGACCAGCACCACTCCCAACTCTAGTGACGTCAGCAGAAGTACCTCCAGCAGCAGAGCCCCGAGCTCCAGAAGCGCGACCGTGATGGCGACCGTACCAGTCGTGCAGCTGCTGTGAGGTGAGAGGCACACGCGGACGAAGGCGGCTACTCCAAGGAGACCGCGCAGCAGCAGACTCAGAACCCTCAGGCGTCGCACCCCAAGACTCAGTACCCCCAGGCTCCTCTCGCCCGGGCTCAGCACCTCCAGACACAGCACCCCCAGGCTCAGGACCTCCACGCTCCTCACGTGCAGGTTCAGTACTTCCAGGCTCCTCACGCTCAGGCTCAGCGCCCCCAGACTCCGCACCCCCCGGCTCGGTACCTCCTGGGTCCTCACGCGCAGGCTCCGCACCCCCAGGCTCAGCACCCCCAAGCTCCGCACCCCCAGGCCCAGCACCCCCAAAGACAGCACCACCCCCAGCAGGACCTTAGTCACCAGTGACCTCAACAGGCGCAGGCACGGGAGGGTCTACATGAGAAACACCTGAAGGAGTAGGACCTGGCACGGGGAGGGGGTCTACCTGGGGAGGACCTGGGGCGAGAAAGAGTGGCGGGGGGGGGCGAGGGGCAGTACGGTAGGGAAAGAGATGGTAAAAGGGGACGGACTCGTCAAAGGTGACGTCCTGAGACGGAAAGACACGGCG